ACTGCCCTTGTTGCATAATTAAAAAGCCAGAAAAATTGTGATAGTTATGGGACACTGTCTGCTTTTTGCATGTGATTATTCTGTGTTCTTTGGTGTATTATTTAATTGAATAAAAAATAATTTACTGCAGTAGTAAAATTAGTATTTGTTTTGAAGTTAAGCACAAAGCTACACAATGGACTATCTGTGCTCTCGCCCACCACGGGTATCGAAACCCGGTTTCAAGCGCTGTGCCACTGGGGGGGCTAAAATTAGTATATATATAAAAAAAAAAGGTGATACAGGTATTTTATTTCTTGTTTTTCATATGTATTTATTTGTTATAATAAAAGTAACTAAAACGCAAGAATGATAAACTTTTTAGGTTATATGAGGTTAGATTAGATAAAATAAATAATATTAATAAAACATTTTCATGAGGTCAATGCATCCAGCCACTTATGCCATGAAAAATATAGGAATATCTGGAGGAAATACTGAGTATAATTGTCAAAATATAGTATCAAATAAGGCCAGTGTACCACATGTGAAATTAAATTTTGGGAATAAAAATAAAAATAATAGAAACAAATATTTTATGGTGACTTCCTCCACCCTTTATAGTCACCATTTCATTCACTTTAAAACAAGTATGAAGGCTGACTACAAAAAACATGTAAATAGATTCAAAATCTGTACCAACATATATGTTAATATTCTATTGGAATAAGCTAACAATCTGATGTGGTACAAATCATGTGCATGACTGTCACACTTAGTTACTAATATTTTTGTTGTATTTAACACATGATGCATTCAATTTTTATTGGACTCAATTACGCTATAGTAAAACAAATATGTAAATTATAACATTTAATGAGTATATATTTAAACATTAACATGATATCCTTATCTCAGTTCTGTAAGCAAATATCAGAGATACTTAAATACAACTAATACAATTTCTTTTCATAACTCATGTCAACAAAACTAGAGCAACAGAAAAATGAAACTACAAACAGTTAATCTGAATTAAATAAACTTTATAACACAGACTTATCACTACAACAGTCTCTGAACATAAGGTACTATGCATTTGTCTATAGGCTACTTACTCTGGAGCTCATTGTTAACTATAATATTCTTCTAAATCTACTTAAGTAATTCTGCATAGAGTATTCTACATGCTAACAAATATTTTTATTTATACATGTTTTTTTGCTGGCAAATCCAGATCCTTTGCTAATTATCAAAACATTTTCGTTTTGTTTTTGCCAGGGTTTGCCTTGATTCCATTGTTGACTTAAGGACTTTTGAGGTCTCTTTGCATTTCTTTTGACCTTCCTCAATCATTGCATGAGCCACACTAGCAGCAGCAAAATCTTTTTCCTTGATAGCATTAGCCAATTTGTCATTTCCTTCATTTAAAGGCTTCTCACTCCCAATTAATGAATCCTTTGCTTCTTTTGCTTTGGCACACAATTTGTCTTCTTCTTGAGAAAGTGCAGCATTGTTTTTTACCAAGTCTTGTGTTTGTTCTTCCTCTTATCTGCCTCCTCCTTTAGCCTTTCTACCTCAGCTTTTGACTCTTTGGTCAGTTGCTCTGTTTTCTCTTTTTCTGCTTTCATTACTTCCAATCTTTGTTCATAGGCAGTGTAAGCACCCTTGGCAGCAAGCAAAAGCTTTTTAGTAATTGGCACATGTTCTGGCCTTACCATTTCTGGATCCAAGAAGCTCACAGCATCTTTAGCTATCCTAAAAGCAGTGATGGTTTCTGCACTCATTGATGCTCTTTCAGTGGTCACCAAATGCTTATTCACAGAGAATCCCCTCTTTACATCTGCATTTCCATGAGCTAGAATCAGTGAAGATTTCACAACCTTCCCCAGCTTGGAGTATTTAGGTTTTTATCAATTCTAATCTGTGCAAGAACATCCCTCCACTAATGATCAATACGTGCCTCACCCACATTTTCTGAATGGTAAGTACAGATTCCACTCATCAAGTACTTCCAGAATGTCTGTTTCACTGACATTGGGAAGCTTTTTTATTGCCAGTCTCTTGATGGAATGAACTGTTCCAGTTTTCATTGGATTCAGGCATCCTATATACTTCAAGATACTTTCTGAAACAGACAGATGATTAATTAGGCAGGTGACAGCAGATGAATAAAAGGCACACTTTCGTAGAAACATCTTATGCTTGCCACTGCTGGACAGCTTTTGCATGGCTAGCCATGGGAATGACCAAACATCAAGCATTTATAGAAACGAACTTGGACTTCACCCTTAAGTGGTGACCAGTATCTGATGGGCAAGTCAAGCTGTTTCTTCCCTTGAGCTGTTGTTGCTTTATCAAAATGAAGTATGAATGGAGTCTTGGAATCATTTACATCAGCAACCAATGCATCAGTACAATATGGACCTATCCCATCTGATAACATGTATGATACCTTCGTTCTTGCCATGTGGAATTTTGATGCAGCTTGACAATCAAACATAGCTTTGAACATGTCAGATATACCATCGCAAGAGCAAAAGCTATAATTGCTAGCAGCCACCTTTAAACACCATATTGTTTCTGCAACTAACACATCTTCATTTACAATTTTGACCTTCATCGTAAGTTCCTTTTCAGTTGACTTGGCCTCCTTAAAACACAACTTCATTTGACATGGTGTCAAAGCACTCTTAACCATCTCAATGTGTTTTTCCCCTTAGCATGCTGCTTTAATTGTTCTAGTCCAGATCCATCACATGCTATTTCCTTTTTGCACAAAACCTAAAATGCTTTAATGTCATTAGAGCCCTTTTTGCACCAATGTTTGATATCATGTCCAATGTTGCCCTTCTTATGCAGCCAGTGTTCTTGAAATTTGGTCTTTCCAGCAGGCATTTTCAATACTTCAGGTTAAAATCTCACTGCGTACATCTCTGAAAAAAGAAAGTTGTCATTATTTGAAATCAACAACAAGACAAAAATGTTGTTTTGTACAACACAGTGTAAGTAAAAAGGTTGCTGCTTCTTCAACTCTCTGAAAACAAAAATATTAAGTGATCATGTTCAGCTGAAATTAAGTAATGGCAAAACAATAAATCAATCAAATATGCACGTATAAGAAAATATTTAACTATTTGAAACACTATTCTTCAGTAATATATTTTAAAACTATAGCTCATAATCCAACCCAACCTCAAATATTGCTGCTCTGACTAATTACTGGATAGCAACAGTGAGTCACAACACAGCATAAAAATTATTTTTTCAAGAAAATATTTCTTACCTTAATGACTGATGAACATGGCTTCCTTGTACATATGGATTGCTGATACAGTTGTGAATATGGATGATTCAAGTTTGTTCTCCAGAGAAAAAAATCCAATAATAACTTAATCATACTTTCATTTCAAAGAAATTTTGGATGTATGTAACACATTTGGAAGGCTTTTATCACCTTTGAAATTAAAATACCAATTAATGTTATACATAACTGCCACATATAATAGTAGTACTTAACATTCCCTCTTTTTTTTGGGATCTAATTGGCAGTTTTATTTTTAAATATAAAAAAATCCCCAAGACCTGAAAAATATAGGAATTTCACAAAAATATAGGAATTATAGGAACAATAGACACCCTGCAAGGTATGCTCGCAAATAGTCTGTGCATTATGTAATTTGAAACCATAATATGAGCTGCTAGTTTGTCACACAACTTACAACTTATATAGCAGCATAAATATTAGTTATACACAGTTCAAAGGGCAATAAAATAATAAAATTTACGCATAAAGAGATGTATACTGTTAAGAGTTTAAAGCTATTTAGGATAAACAAATGCAGTTTAATGTTACAATCTGAAGTCATTTTAAAAATAAAAAATGGGTAATTTAGATTTATTTTGAATTTTTTTTTTGGTGGCTAGAAGGTTAGACAAATTGACCAACCTCGTATAGAGTTTTAGGGTAGAGAAAATAACAAATAAAATATATAATTGTACTGAAAAAAATATTTGAATTTTATTTAGGAGGTTTTAGATTATGTAAATCAAATTTGAGATTTTTAAGATGAAGGAAAGTATTTTTAACCTTAACATGAATTAGCACTTTGCACTCTGACTAGTATAAAAGAAAAAAGAAACTTGATATATTCAGAAACAAACTTTTAGTAAAAATACTTGTAATGTTTACTGAAAGTCTGCCAAATATTGTGAAGATACACATACTGTAATAAAAGTTATGGTATGAAAACCAGAGTGAGTACAAAATTGTTACAAAGTCGGTCAATTCAAAAACTACTAAATATCTAAAATCATAAATAGTGTTCAGCATTACAGTGTTCTAACAACATCCTTAGGGATATACAAGACAACATCTCAAAGACTGCTAAATATCTAAAATCAAAAACAATGCATTCAACATGATGATGTTCAAACAGCATCCTTAGGGATAAAAATGACATCTGAAAAAGTGCTAAGCATCTACAATTAGGAGATAAGTACATTCAGTATGACAGTGTTGCAAGAGAATTCTTAGGGATGAACAAGACAGTTATCTCAAAACCACTAAATATCTAGAATTATAAAAAGTCCATTCAGTATGACAATGTTCAAACAAAATTCTAAACAAGGAATTTGAAAATGAATAAACTAAGAAAACAAAAGTTCATAAGCTTCCAGTAATCGTGAAATCACAGTTGTTTCCACATACAGTGGAAGTATATCAAGATTTGTGGTTTACAATTGACCTTACCATATTCTACAGAAGCCTATAACAATGGAAACTGTAGTGTTGAGAAATGATTTGTAATCAGACAACATACTGAGCATGATTAACAACAGTGATAACTCTTAGAGGATCAGGGAGCCTAGTACGTCACTCTTGTAGAGTGCAACTACCACTCACTATCTACCTTCAACCAGCCCAGTATTGTAGGCTTTTACTTTCTAGCAACATAAAAGCAGCATTTCCTGGTCAAAATCTGTACAATTGACAATCAATTGGTTGAACAAATTAGACTTACCTCTTCCAAAAAATCTGCAGGTAAATCATAAACTTTAGTTAGCTCTCCTATAGTAATCTGGCCTGACTGCTGTAGTTTCTCATCAATTTCTTCTGCCAAGTGATTAAGATAATCACTAGGAAGAAAGGATAGAAATTCAAACAGTAATCATATTTAGAAAAAAAAAAGATTATATCTTGGAAAATAAAACATTTAAAAAAAAGTTACATAATGTAAAAAAAAAGGAAAACAAAAAATAAGGTATAATTCAAAGCCAAGTTTAAGAAGCCATAATAACAGCTGAACCAAAACTAACCAAACTATACAAATATACTGTTGTAGGCTATGTTTCTATTTAATTTAAATGTTTTTATTGCTGTTAGCTATAGGGAACTGAAGTTTTCATATCATGTAATTAGCATGGTTTAATGATTAGAATTTTCTTAAGAATTTAAGAAATGATTTTAGCAGTGTAAAAATAAGTTATGGTACAGCAGATAGCTGATTATCAAGTTATGGAGTTTGGATTGTAAGTTTGCCTGTTACTAGCAGCCAGTTATTTCAGTTTTGTAATGCGAATTTACATCAATGAAGAGGTTCATACAAAAGAAGTTAGCAAGTACTATCAGCACATACTTTGAACTTAGTCTTGTCAAAGAATATTAGTTAAACCAACTTATATAACTTGTAGTTGAAGAAATAAGACACTTTTGTTGCTGTTAAATGAACTGGTCCTTGTAATATTTTTAAATAGCAATCCAAGAAACTGTTACAACAAAATATATTCATATACAAGTGGTAGAAGGTAAAACATAATATCATGTGAAACAAAGTTAAGATCCACTATTACACAGCACAAGTTTATATAAAAACAAGTTTCAACACTTTCATGTGTCCTCTTCAGTCTAGCATTTGCTTGTAAAAGAATGACTTACAGAGATTATTTTAAAAAATAAAAAACTTTTCAAAAAAGGAAGAAAATGTAGGGATGGCTAATAACAATCCTTCAAAAACAATGTAACCAAGATAGTAGTGATGACATTTGCATCATCCCTACATAATAGCATAAACATACAGTGTTCTAGAATGTCAACAGACAAAAATAGGATTAAGTAAACTCAATTATACAAGTACACTTGACCTTACCGATGTAAGCTCATGTCTGTGCTATTATGTAGGGATGATGCAAATACCATCACTACTATCTTGTTTGCATTGTTTTTGAAGAATTGGTATTAGCTATCCCTACATTTACTTCCTTTTTTTGAAAAGTTTTTCTACTTGTTTCCTTGTTTTTAATGCAGTGTTTCAAAAAATATAGGAAGGTTGTATTTATAATCAAATTCTAGATACAATGAGGTTCCAACTGTAATATTTATTGTTTATCTATTATTTGCTGGTAACTCCCGTTTCACCCTGTACTTTAGCTATTTAAAGGAACACCAAAATTTCTGTAAAAAAGCCAAATTCAAGGGGTAATGATAAGATAATTTACACTAGAATTAGGATTTTTTTTAAATTACTACTAGTTAATAATACTTATAAAAGTGACTACTCCGTTTGAAACTATGTCACCTCAGTGAAGTTGGTTGAAACCATTGTTTTGTTTTTTGAGTTATTATGTAATAAAAATGAAGCAGAAAAAAGAAGAACAAATAAATGAAACTTTTTGCTATAATATTTACAAACATTCCCAGAACTTGTGACTCAGTCATTACATAGATATTGTTATAAATGGAAACACCGTATAGTATTGTAAAGTTCTGATGACCTAATGAGGAGATGTTTAAATAACCATTTTGATGAACAATCCAAACCATTCCTACATAGGCAGTGCTACAGCCTGGCTGATAATGAAAGTCTCAAAGAAACAACATCTTAGAAATCAAATTAACAAAATCAACATTCTGCTTTCCGACCTGAACATACTATGGTCTCCCTAATAAAAGTATTTACTAAAAATAATGTATTCACATGCAGAGAATGATATTACAGATGAAAATATGGAATGGCAAAATGCAATCCTTTTATCCCCAATTCAATGCAAGATCTTTATGGATATTAAAAATGTGTTCTATGTAATTTGACTTATTAAAATGAGGCATAACCACAAAAGACAATAAATTTTTCAGTGATACACTATGCCACCATCATCAGGAGTATGAAGGAGCTGTGGAGAGTAAGGGATGGAAGACTTGAACTCTGAGACAAAGAAATACTTGTAATTGTAGGTTTGTGTTCTTCTGGAAAAAGTAAGTATTATTTTTAAATTTTTTTAAAGTCTAGAGTTGTTATTTTTATGTATTTTAGTTTAGGTGATATTGGACACTACAGGTACAGCTAAGCTGAAAGTTACAACATTGGCTCGATACTTTATCATTAGGCATTTTTTTAAACTTTTAAGTAACTAATATTAGTATTAAATGTTAGATAGAAATAACATTTTCATTAGTGTTAGCTAATTAAGAAGGATAATCTGTTTAACTTAAAAGCTTAAATTACTGTTTTTATTACTAGCTGTTAAGAATTTAATACATTAGACTAAACTGTTTAAATTAGCATTTAGTTGTGTGAAACTACAAACATGGAGTACATCATTCTTCTGGTACTGACATTGGTAATTAAAGATATATGTATTGGTTTATAGTGAATAAGCCTAATTACTTCAGTGAGAAGATAAGGTAGTGATAAAATAGCAACATACTTAACTCTAATGTTAGGCTTAACAGTGTTGTCAATAGGCCACTGGAATTTAGCGTTAATTACACAGGCCTGCAAATTTAAACTTCATAAAAGTTGTTTTGGTTTTAATAATCAGCTACACAGATTTCAAAAATAACATTCAATTTTTTTCTATCATGTAAGGATTTTTGACAAATCGGGAAGAAAAACTCTTACTTAAATCATATTTACAACAAATTTCCCACAAATATAACAGAATATATTTGAGTTATTTACATAACCTCTTGTTTCCATAGCAATGAGTAAATAATGTTGAAAAGAAAAAAATGATAACAAAATGCATGCATAAACAAATACTATCCAGAAATGATACGTCATGT